AATAAGTAGTGAGAACAAGTAGAGAAACATTGGTACACGAGGAAACGATTGTCACGCCACAGGTGTCTATTATGCACCGCATGCTCACCAGCACAGAAATCTGGCCAGATACGAAGCTAGTTGGTGATACAGCATCTGCAAAACATTCGCGGCAAAGGCAACGAGATTCGATGAAACAAACCATGTGACGGAGAGAAGGCATGTGGAAACCAGGCTGCAGACAAATAAAAATAAACGGAGGCAATGAAAAAATATAATCAGAGTGACGCCATGAAGCAAACGGAATGAAAGGTCGCTCATCCTGCAACCCCATCGTACAGCATTTCAGCTTACCTCACGACGAGCACTATTTACAGCTTGACTGAACAACAATTCTTAGGTCGATACGAGTCGAGAATGGAGCATCACGCATCGCCCCCGTGTTCGATATTCTGCCATGAAAAAACGATAACAAAATAAGACATACGATGCATGTCATTCAAACAACGGCACCCCTAAAATACTATGACTTCGCTGGTGGAAAAGTGAAGGAACTTAATTCCACGGTCAGAACATCACCAGGGCTAATCGCGACAACCTGCTTCTTGTTCAAGTAAGCTGCGTGTAGCTCTCGTAGTAGCTGCTCCACGTGAGTATCGTGAGCTGAAAACGACTTAGGTAGAGAATGACGGGTTGTGTTTGAACCAGGATGGACAAGGCTAGAAGGCAGTGATGGGTGAGGAGAGGAAGTAGAAGGTGGTTGTCAAAGAGCTACGATTGGTTCGTGATCTAAACTGTGCCACGTAACCCAACCCATCACTGTAATTACAGCATATTGAGTGATGTGATAAGATCATGGAATCTTTCTGGCTCACAACCGTTTACTTTTCAATTCGAATACGGAAAGACGAAATGCACAGTCAAGGTTTACCGTACGTGGCTGCCTCGGCAGCCAAAGTGAAGCGAACTTTTGATTGACGCCGAGCCTCCAGCCGAAGCTAGGGGGTATCCTCGGGGTAACAACGAACTGATATGCCCCCCTGATTGGTCTATGGTTTCATTACGAAGGTGCGCGAACATTTCTGCGAGTGGTAATGAACTCGCCAGCACTCAAAGTTAACCTCGGGAGCACTTGTGGGAAACATGAGGGTTACCTCACGAGGGTGACCTTGGGGTATCCCTCGACTTCGGAGCGAATTTTGCGTTGTGATTTTTGGGATGTCGCAGCTGCCGCGGCCATCGTTCGGGTTGACGAGTTTCGCGGTGGCTGGACTCCGTGGGTGAGCTGTGCGCGTATCATGCCACACCTCGTTGACACCACCGCACCCGTGCACACGACGGTGTGTATGAGTCACTGCGAAGCGCGCCCGCTGTCAGCGCACCCCCGCTCGCGCATGATAGCGAGCGGTGATGACGGAAGATGGCAGGGGCTGTGGTTTGACAGGGGGGTTGCGTTGTAAGAAGCAAGCATCCACCGCAGGCTTACAGAAAGAGCTACAAGTTTACCGTTGCTGTGCCTCGAAACAGCTCCCTGGACTCAGGGGCGTTACTCGAACTGCTGTATGGAGTCACAAACTTTGCGCGAATTGTGGGAGGAATACAGGGGGTTGTTGCTTGCAGCAGGTCGGAGTGGCCAGTGTGGTTGGCAGTGGTGAGTCCAGGGGCCATGGAGAAGGGAAGGGAGGGGAGGGTAGTAGTACGCACTAGGTTCGGAGCACATGGCGCCTGCCACAGCCCTGTGAGCGGCCAAGGGCAGCGATGCTTCCCCATGGGCGCTGCTTGCCGTGGGACACGGATGGGATACAGCGAGAGACACGGATGGGAAGTAGGAGAAGAAGCTAGAGAGAGAGATCATTGCATGTGCTGTGATCACTGATCAGTCCCCATGCGGACAGTGGCAGGCAGTGGCACATGAAGGCTGTGGTTTCCATCGTGTGCTGTGCACTTGCTGGGAGCCTCGCTTCACTTGCAGCTGTCTTGTGATTCACGTCCGATAACACGCGTGCTTCGTGCAGAGGCAGTGTGTTGCACAAAGCATGCACCCTGCTGTATGGCGCCGAGTACAGGCCAGCACTGGTGAAAAGAAATGGCGCTGGGTGTCATCATCATCAGCACATGCATGCTATGCGGCAACAACAGGATCATGATGCTTTTCTCTAACCCTATGCATTTTTGTTGAAGCAGGAGCCATACCGAGGGTTGGAGCTGCTGCTGCTGCTGGGCAGTTTTGTATGGCTTGTGCCACCCTGGGGTGCAGCTGCAGTGCGACTACACCCTTACGATGGTGGGCTAACTGATTTGCTTAGTCCTCTCAAGAGCAATTGCAGTAGCTGATTAGCACAGCACAGCAGTGAAAGATACTGGCAGTCTGTATTAGTCGTTGCACTAACGACACAGAAGATGCGCGTCCATCCCACTCAAATCCATGCACCCCTTGTACCTGACCCCATCCGTGCCTCCATCCCAGCCTCCAAACTTGCAGTGCTGGCCAGCGAGTGGGGCAACTTCAATGGCAGCGACACATGGCAGCGTCGCGAGGTGGACTGCCATGCAATGGAGGGCATCCAGTGTGACAGGGACGGCCACGTCACTGCCATGTGAGCGCACGCATGGACAGTCTGGGCCCACCCAGGCCGTGCAGCCAGCTAGTGTGTGTGTGCAGTGTGTGCATGGCCCAGCGCCTCTGAGGGAGTGGTGGAGCGTGGTGTGGAGTGGAACAGTGCAACTCACTTGCTCACCGCTGCTATGCTCTGCAGCTTCATGCCCCTCACTGGGATTCAACACCAAAATCACCAATCGCCTCCCAATGTGCCTTCCGTTTTTGTGTCTTCCAATTGATGCAATGCTTTTCTATTTGTTTCTCAGAACCCTGCAAACCACGCTTTATGCCGTACTGATACTGATGCTTCTTCTCATACCACGTTGACACTTTGCCATACCATGTGGCATGCCACATTTTCAAAAGAAATGCATGTGACAGTGAGCATTGTTCTTCCGCCCAATGAGTCCATTCACCACAGAGTACTGGAAGATTTCGAACTGGGTGCACCAATGCCTGACACAATCAGCCACTTCCAACGCCTCACATACCTGTGAGCTCTTATTGCATCTCCCTGCACGTCAAGCACTCATCGGGACCTGCAATTATGACTCAGAATTGAGATTGATTTCTTTCTGCTGTGTGCTCCTCCCTCCACGCCCAGAGGGCTCTAGATTTGCCACCAGGTCTGGTCCGTGGTCTCAACGGTGCTGTGCCACAGGGGTCTCCCTCAGCACCATTGGCCCTCTCACCACCATTGCCCCTCTCAGCACCGTTGCCCCTTCAGTAGTTTTGGGATGGCTCGAGATTGGCTTAAGTTGGTCCGCACCGGCCGAGGTCGGGCTGGCCTTGAGTTTCGGCCAGTGGCCCGACTCATGGGGCCGTCCGGTTCCTGGCCGGACTGGGACAGGCAGGTATCCCTTTTGAGATAGTCACATGAACAAAAGGGCGATCCAGGACCCTGGTGTTACAGGTAACCTAAACTGGGCATATTTAGCAGCACGTTTAGAGACTAGCAATGCGAACACAATAGCACAGCCAACGTTCCCATTGTTGTGACTGAGCTGCTGTCGCGAGCAACTTGTCACACGGTGCAAATACTTAATAAGAACATGAGAGCTGGAATTCTGAAGTGAAATTCCTCTTTTCTTGTGGCCCATTTGCTTCCTCCCTCCTTGACCAGGAGGCTCTATTTCTGCCAAATCACCGGGACCATTCCGAGCAGCATCTCCAACTTAGCATCCCTTGTGTTGCTGTAAGGCCTCACTGATTCCGCCCTTACACCAGGCATTTTCCATCAGGCACTTACACTTACGCTTCCGTTCTTATGCGTATCATTAACACATGTGTTTACTAAGATCTCCTTCCACTTGTTTTTGTTACCACATCTCTTGCTCATCACAGTGTTTTAGGAGGCAATTCAATTTCAGGCAGCCTTCCTGCCAGCATCAGCCGTCTGACCCGCTTACAAATGCTGTGTGTATAGACATAAGCACAACCTTTGGTACATGGGCATAGATAGTAGAATGCAAGTGTGTGCATAGCTGTTGCAGCATAATTTCATATTTTTGCAACTGCAATATTTGTATTACACATGTCTCTATAAATAGAAGCATTGATTGCATGTGCACGATGTATTCTTACCTTTGATCTCCAGCATACGAAACCAATTTCTCTCCCGTTCACCTTCCACAACATTCGCTTCTTCAATTTCATGACTCTTGATTTCAACCGCATGTCTGGCCCAATAGACTCCATCTGCAACTTGACGCAACTGAGAAAATTGTCAGTCCTCTGCTGCAACTCCTTGTTTTGCCCGCTGCTAGCTACCCCTGTTAAACCTTTCTCTTTTTCACTCGCAGTACCTTGTATAAAATAAAGTTGAGGTTAGATACAGGGTGAGAAGGATAAACACACAGGGTGGCCTAAGAATGAAACTCAATGGTGTCACGTTGAGGAGACCACAACAAGTTATAATTTTACCGACCACCATTTCTGACCTTTCTAATTTTGTCCTTTTCCTCAAAGTCGTGCACATGTAATTATCTCGTTGTGACATTTCACTGTCAGATTTGTGCGCATCTGGCACTTGCTTGGTTGAAGCAGTTGGCGGGACCGGCTTTGGGGAAAGAGAGTGAGGGTTGCATAAATCAAGTTGTACTCGACTAGGGACCAAAAAAAACCCGAGCTTTCTTTGCTCGACTTTATGGTCGAATAACGAGTTGGTCTCAAGTGAAAAGAACTCGGTCCGAGTAAGTCCCGACTCAGCTTGAAACTCAATTGAGTAGCAAGAACGATTTAAGTTTTACTCGACTTGTAAAATACTCATGCTTGGTCAAGAAAAGGTTCGTTGCTTAAGCTATTCCTGGTAGAAGCCTAGGTGAGGAGGGAGATGAATTCCAAAGTAAAGGCTCTTCATTTTCTGTAGTGCTCACATCTCACTTTCTGAGTGTATGTTCCCTGTTACATATCAACCATCCAGGATTCTTACTCATAACCAGTTCAATGGTTCACTTCCTCAAGAGCTGGGCAACCTCAAGCAGCTCTTCAGCTTGTGAGATGCACACTGCGCCACTGCCCCTACAAGAAAGCTTGAAAAGCTAGTTGAAAGCCGAAGTAATTCTGTATCTTGGAGACAAGATGAGACAAGTAGGCTATGGTGAACGGCCAAAGGAAGATGGTGTTGCAATCCCACATTTGCTTGCTCTGTGGATCTCAAAACTGAATGCACTGTGAGCTTCAACCAATCCTTGTCTAGGAAATGGTCTGAAGAGTTGGTTTATGATTTTCTAGCTGAAAAGGTTTCATTTACACAACTGTGGTGTTTCAGAGTGGATTTGACAGTTAATGACGAGAATCACCCGAATGGTTTCAGAGTGCTTCAGTTCCGAGTGCTTTTCTTCCTTTGGCCACCTGGCCTCCTCCCTTCCCCCATCAGGTCAAGGAGTGCTCGTCCTGGTTTGAGATCTGGTAGGGCAAGCGAAATGTGTGTGATAAGCTACCATCACCGGTCATTGAGCCATGGATAGATCATAACCCAGCAGGCTCGTGTTCTTAAACAACCTGACGCAGCTCAAACCGACCCCGTCTTGATCCCTTGTCAAGAGACAGAAGCCCAATTGTTCCGAGGAACCAGCTTCTCTCGGCGCTCAGGGTGTCTAGCCATGTCCGGCTCAAGCTGAATCCGACTCGCTTCGTGTCGTGCTCATGTCTATTTGAATCCCTTTTGCTGCTGCATTTCTGACGCTCTTTTCCTGCGTATTGCAATTTGCACATGCAGAAACCTTGCGCAGAACCGCTTCAATGGAAGCATCCCGTCATCTGTTGGTAACCTGGCTCTGGAGGGCTTGTATGACTGCAGCCTTGTCCACAAGATTTAGGGTTGTGGGAAGCTTTACAGAAATGAAGTTTACAACTTATTACCTGTTTTCTTGCAACATGTGTCGGACGTTTGAAGTCCATTGACGGCACGTGGCCTTTCAACACCTGAAGCCCCCTCACTCTGTATTGATTAGCACATGGCACTCACTCTCCTCTTGTTTCTCATACACGGCTTCTTATTGGCAGGGATATCAGCGTCAACCAGCTCTCGGGTTCCATTCCTGACTCCCTCAGCCGCTTGCAGGAGGTCACATACATGTGAGGTTACTGGCCATACTACACCTGGTCAATACTCTCTTTTCTCACTGCTGCTTAACATGCACGCGTGGATTGACCATAACAAGAGCGATTGACCATGATGAACTGGGGTGGAGGAAACATGTGACGTGAGGTGTGGGTGTAATGCCCAACCCCTCGTGTGAATGTCAACCTGAGCCTGGGTTCTGGTTTCAGTTCTTGTTGACTAAATTTGCTTGCCCATGGATTTGTTTTTTTATGACTCAATACTAAAATGAAACACATGCTGCGTTACCAGTGGGCGCACTTTTGAGATATTAAATCCTGTATGTCGCGTTGGTGCTTGCATTTGTAGTTCACAAATTGTCCCTCCAGCAAGGTGGTTTGGCAGATGCTTCGGCAAGGCTGTCAAAAACCAATATGCCACTCTTTCCTTCATCTGATGTCAGATGCCATACAGGCAACTCGCACAACTGAATCCATTGTGCACTCGTGATCTCTGCATGCTTAACATATTCCCCCTTCTTTCCATGCAACCACTTTCCCTTCTCATGGCTTTCTGCCCATGGGGGCCTGCTCACTTGCACCAGCGCACTGGCAGAGAATCAGCTGACAGGATCCATTCCAGAGTCACTTGCAGCGCTCACTGGTTTGCACGGCCTGTGAGAATCTTTCACTCTCACAAACACCACTCCCACTTTGGGTTGCACAGCCAAAGCTGACCAATCCCGGATTCTTTTCCACACATGCCTTGAAACAGCATGCAGTGCCCGATTTTGCACTCCCTTGTGCTTGTTAAAGTGCTGCAACTGATTGTCTTGTAGTTGAGTTTGGACCTTAGAAGATTGTAGAGCAGCCTTTGTTCTGTATTGTTGTTGGTCGGAGTGAGCACGGACGAGCTTCAGATTGTCTCTGGTTTCATCCAAATCGGACATCCGAAAGGCACCGTACATCTTGAAGAGGTGCATCAGGTAAAACGAATGATGGATGGATTGGACGCATCAAGTGTCATTGTCCCTAGTGTCAAAACGCGCCATGTCTTCCCCTCTCTGTTACCTCACCTACTTCACCAGTAATTTGTATGTCCAACTACTTCAGTGTTTGTCCATTACCTATCGCTATGAATGACAGGACCTGTACATTAGCCATAGGTTGTGTGCGCAGCACCAGCGGGCCAAAACATTACCAGGAAAGAAAGGAGAAGAGGAAAAAAGCAAGAAGAAATGAATTATATACAAATCGGCTGTACCGAGAGTGGACTTCTTCTGACCCTGAGCTTATAAAGGCTCTTGAGCCAACCCTATGATGCAGGCCTCAAGCTGGTCACGCACTGAATTGCTCGGCTGGACAGACATGAGGCCACAGCTTCTTCGAGACGAGCCTGCCTTTTGTCTTGGCTCGTTAGCGTGTCTACTGCAAGGCACACACATGGCGCTTTGGCTGCCTCTGGCCCTTCCCTAGGTACCTGCACAACAACCAATTGAGTGGGTCAATTCCAGCATCACTGGCATCACTGCAGAATCTGGAGTACCTGTAGGTGCATTTGTGACCCACCCAAGTCCGTTCCTATCGAGTTCTTTGTCATGTATATTATTCTTCATTGCCCCAATGTTCAGCTCCCGTATTTCACTTGTTTCCCACATTCATGTTAATTTCTGTTGCATGCTATGCTCATTTGTACTGCACGAGCTCATGCATGTTGCACTGCACATCGTGCTCATGTTCAGATTTTTCGACATCAACAGTCTGTCAGGAAGCATACCTGCCTCCCTGGGTGACCTCCTGCAGCTCAAGTACATGTAGGCATCGTCTCCGTTTTGCCCATGTAGTACAATCGATTGAAACAGTTACATTGTGTAGGATGGATGGATGGATCCTGTCCAAAACCCCATTTCATTACGCAACCTGCTGCTCAGACACACAGCCTTGGGAGAAGTATGCATGGCATGGCAGTTTGGTGGCACCCGAGCATTCCATCGAGTTTGGTTTAGCTCGTATTTCCATTGTGAAGTTGAAATGGCAGACGGTGACCACCAGATCAGGCTCAAATCCTGCTGGAGCCACTACTTGGTGAATTGTCAGATGTGAATTATTTGAAGCTTGGAGTATATACAGACAGGCATGTTGCAAGTTTGTTCGCTCAAATCTGTCCCTATTCTAGAATTCTTTCTTGGCTCTGTAGTGAAGGCAACCTAAGTTTGCTACCCAAGGAAGGCTTTTGATCTGGCCAGCTCATCACCGGCCGACCGCACTCGCCACGACCCACACCGGCTTGCCTTCTTCATGCACACCAATAGCCAATACCCCGCTATCATCCATGGAAGCCATCAGCCGCCAATTTCCCATTATAAGCCTGTGACGAGCCGGCCATAGCTTGGCCTTCACAAATAACGAGCCAGGGATGGCTCATGACAAGCGGACTCTGCTTCGGCTGTCTCTCGACCCTAGCACATCCCTAATACTAATGACCATCACCCCCGCCTAGCTTGTCTGAAGAGATGAGGTCGAGCTGAGGGTAATCCAAGCCCCATTGGCGGATACTGGACCGGCCTGGCCCACCATGCTTGAGCCTCCTTTGTTACTGTCGACTCGGTTGTGCCTTCACACATGAGCAGGTCGTTCGCATTTAATCAAGTGTCTGGAACCATACCGACAGCCTTCGGGAAGCTCACCAACCTGCAGCACTTGTGAGAGTGCAATCATCATGTTCGCCAGCTCATCAGTGCTTTCATTCCTCCGGAATCACAAACCTGCGTTCCTTGTTCACCGTTCCAGAGTCCAATTTGGTATCAATCTGCACGACCATCTGCTTGCAGGAGCTTCGCGGCCAATCAGATGTATGGGACCGTCCCGAGCGTCCTCAGCAATCTATCCAAACTTCGATCCCTGTAATTTGCGCCAGAGGTATACAACCTTAGAGGGCATGCTCCTTGCCGAGAAGGTGCAAAGCTGAGACGGCACTGTAAAGGTGTACCAAGATGCCATTGAGGATTACTTGCATCAGGCAGGCATGAGCACTGCCTGAACCTTCTCTGGTCGAACTCTGCCGGCTCGAGTTCTTCGGCCTCATATGCTGGGTGTTCATTGCCAACTTTGCATTACTCTGGCCGGAAAATTTCCGGTTCGTCCCGGGAACAAGGCTCGTGCTGTTGTTGCCCGCGCCTATCAATCCTTCTTGTCATAGCTACCCACCAGTCATCCAAACATTGTCAGCCACAATCCATCGTGCTTGTGTGTGTGTGCTGAGGTGGGAGGAGTGATAGAGCTCCCTCTCCACAATCTGCATCTGCTTGCATCACGAATGAGAGGTAGAGTTGAAGGAGCTGTAGCTCACAATGTCCCCGCCATCTTCCCTTGTGGTGCTCCTCCTTTCCCATGCATACGTGTGCATGCATGCGTGTATGCATGCGTGTATGCATGCGTGTATGCATGTGTATGTGCGTCTCAGTCATTTGCAGGGCAATGGCTTCTCAGGACCTGTGGATTACATCGTGCGAACCATGAAGAGGATTGAGAGCCTGTGTGTATTGTTGTGCACTACTGACTGTCTAGCTCCAAACAAAGTCTTGGGTTGTTCGGTCACAAGTAACCCTTTTTTGTTGCCAGCCAAACAAACTCGAAATGGACCAGGGGTGCATTCTGGAGATCAAGAGAATAAGTTTGATAACAAGACGAGGGCGAATTCTGTATTGACGTTGTTGGGCATACTCCGTATGGTATGGGAAGGTTGGAATTGAGTCGTAGGGGAAAACGGGGGAGGACAAGGATCTGTTTGTTTGTTATTTGTTTTTTTTCTAGCTCTTTCCCTCTCCAATGCATGTCTCAGCTGATCTGAACATGATTTTCAAGCTATGGGGTGTATGTGTGAATGACATAAAACAAGACAAGACATAGAAATCTGGGGCTATGACTTCTGTTCTGCTCTAAACCTCTAAAACCTGCCAATGTTCCCGAACTCCATTTTCATACTTACAACCATTTTGTTTCTGGCCTCCTCCCTACGCCCTTCTCCCTCCCTTCCATTTCACACCTGTAGAAATCTGAACCATAATCTGTTCAGTGGTCGTCTGCCCAGCCCTGCCTCGTCCGGCATCTTAGAGTATAAGATGAACAGCAATTTTTTCACACACGGGAATGTCAAGTTCAACTGCTCAGCTGCTGAATGGAGCGTCGATCTCAACTGCCTCTCCACTGACCTGCTCATCTGTGGCCGTGTTCCGTCCTCAAGGTCCCCAGCTGCCTGTGCTGCATTCTGTGGGATGGAGGCTGGGTCCACTGCCTCTGTGTGTGGGGGGCATGGCTACTGTTCTGTGAATCAGTACACTGGAGGGGGGGAGTGTGTGTGCGATCCCAACTACCTTCTTGACAGCACCAACACCAACGTCTGTTTGCCCGGAGGTGTGTGTTTCCAGGCCCATCTCGTTGAGGTTCAAGTTTAGCTCATTGTGTTTGCTTTCGGGTGAGCCACTGGCCTGCATGGCAACTAGGCAATTTGCTTTCTCAACACCAGTTCGGCATTTTGGTTGCTCTGAAATCGCTGTTCGTGTGTCTCCTCCCTTGCACCTGCAGCCGTTGGAGGATCGCTGGCATCAGACTCAGCCTATGTGGCTGTGCGGGGATCAGCTGCTGTGCTTTCCAGCGGCTCCATTCTTCTCACAGGAGGGGCGCCCAACCAGCAGGGAGCAGCGTTTGCCTCTCCCGCGCTGCGCCTCTCCTACTTCCCCAACAAGCGCTCCCTCTGCGGGATTGAGCTCGCATTCACCGCTGCCTTCAGCTTTGCCATGCATGCACTGGGCCACGTGGCAGGTGGAGAGGGCTTTGCATTTGTGGTGGCGGCAGCTGCTTCTGGCAAGGGGGCGAGTGTGGGGCTGGGAGGGGTGGGGAAGCGGAGTGTGGCGGTGGAGTTTGACTCGGTGCTGAGTGTGAAGCACAGCGACCCCAATGACAACCACGTGGGCGTCAATGTGGGCGGTTCACCTGTGTCCCTCGCCTCTGCCACGGCCCCTCTCATCCTCAACGATGGCCACACCAAGCACGCCTGGATCCACTACGACCCCACCAGCGGCGGCACCCTCCGAATCTTCCTATCCTCTGATCCCGACCAGCCCCTCGGCCCCGCCCTTACAGCAAGCGTGTCTCTCTGCTCCGTGCTCAAGCCCACTGCATCCGACTCTCTCTTCCTCTTCGGCTTCGTTGCCCTTTCAGGCAGCCAGCCCCAGAGGCACACCATCCTGAACTGGCAGTTCACCACAGGTATCATCCCGGCACTCCGTATAACCTTTTTCCCTCACCTTTTGCTACTTTTATCGGTCATCGTCTGTTTTCGGTGGCACTTGTGCTGTGTGTGCTGAAATACGTTTGTCTTCTGGTCATGAAGCTGAAATGCCCAACAGCTTTGTGTCAAGAACTATGGCAATTCTCACACTTGAATATTTTCCATTTAGATGTACTGGTACAATGATTCTCTCTTAGATTGAAGTGTCTATCCTACTCTTGTTATTTCCTTACCAAAAGCCTTCCCTGCTCACCCTCCCCCCTCATCATTGCACAGAGTAATTCATCCTCAAGTGTGTCACTCATCCTCAAGATGCTCTTGGGTAGATCTTTGGAAGATATGTTTTGTCTTACCGTCATCGCCCGGATAGTTGACATATATGTCTTATCTCGTACACTACTCAAAATGCTTGGGTTATCTTGTTTTTGGGATGGTTTAGGGTGTCTTATAAGTCTTATAAATAGAAAAAAATATAAGGACTATGTAAAACTTGCAAAGTGTGTAGAAACCACCCCTGTGCCATTATACCTTTGAATTAGGGCGACCTCGGTGGTGATGCATGCAGCGCCCCCACTTGCCATGTGAGGGATGTAGCAAAGCTGCCACTGCTGGCAACATCCCTCTGTGCTGGCAGCATTTAATGATGCTGCCAGCGTCGTTTTCCTGCCAGCAGCACTGGGATGCTTCCAGAATGCTGCTGGCAGCACGATGGCAGCATCAGGGCTATCCTCTACTAGGAGATTCCTCGTAGAGGAGCGGCTTGGTACCTTTGGAAGGGGCACTGTGGCTGGAGGGGGTAGTCGGGCTTGAGCTTCATTTGGTGCTCAAGGAGGTTGAGATCTCAACTCAACCTTTACTCTTAGCAGGCTTACCGTAATCATGCGCAGCAAAGTCCCTACAGGCACGTCCTCACCTCGCCCTCACGTGTAGGTGAATAACTACGGCCGAATTAACTCGCCCGGTGATGACATCCATGTAGCCATGGCGAAGAATACGCGCAAGACGGGAAGATATACCGCCGCCTCCCATGCGAGCTATGACTGGGATGATGGCGACGAAGGACACGGCGGCGATGACAGCGACGGAGAACATAGGGACGACGGCGATGAGGATTGGCCGGAGAACGGCCACGACGATAGCGCTTCGAGGGATGAAGTAGCCCATGCCGACATCGATGAGGACGAATGGTGGAATCGGCCGGTTGGGAGCGACGGCGAAGTGGAAGAGTGGCGGGCTGGTGATTCAGACAACGACGAGGGTGTCAATGCTGATGGCGAGCATGCGGAGGCAGCTGCGCATGCAACGGGAGCGACGGGCGATGACGGTGCGGATGCTGACGACAAGGCGCATGCGGAAGCGAGGACGACGACGGTGGAGGCGGATGCTCAGGCTGACGACGAGGTGGAGGCGGAAGCGGATGCCAATGCTGTTGCGCCCGCGGATGTGGTCGCAATTGCGAATGCGGATGCTGCGGAGGGAGGTGCCGATGACGACCCGTAGAGCATCACGGGTGACGACGATGTTCCGCTTTTGAAGCGGAGGATGCGTCATCTCTTATAGTCCAAGCCGAAGCGTGCCCGTGTGGTGCTCTCTGAGGAGCTTCAACCGTGCATCTTTGCTGTAGACAAGGGGAAAACCAAGGTCGCGGATGCCCCTGGTAAGGCCACCGTTTGTCGCCGCCCAAGCACCAAGAAGCGGAAGAACGACGGCGACCCCGGATCCAGCACGGGTGCTGCTAAGAAAAAGAAGAAGGGGCCAAACAAGGACGACATCCTGGTCAACGAGGCGCTCGGCAGCGACGATGAATACGCTGAGGCGGCAGGCCCAATTCCTTCATTCAATGAGAAGGCGAAGCCGAAGGACCCCACCCTCCATAATCCCAACTCCCGTCCACCTTCCCCTCGCAGCAAGGACAGTAAGAAGAGGCGCCGCGGATGGACCGTACGCGAGAAGCTCAAGTCGGCGCGCCGCTACCAGGAGCTCGACTCATTGAAGAAGACCTTGCTGGAGTCTACCGCATCTATCGCCTGCATCAGACGCTGGAGTGCAGAGGCTGCTGCGGGCGTCTACAAAGGAGCGGCTAACTGTCGCAAGCGGATGCACGGGGGGGGGGCCGCCACGCACACTACCCCGACACGGAGGCGGCGTTGTACTGCTACGTCTGCCTGCAACGCGCTAATGGGGTGGCCATCTCGGTGAAGGACACCTAGAAATGGAGCCACGATTGGATGAAGAAACACCACCCCGGTAAGAACTGGAACGCGAGCTCTCACTAGAGCCAGCGTTTCCGTGACTGCTGGAACCTGGTCATGCGTGTGAAGACCAAGGTCGGCCAATGGTTATCGGCTGGTGAGTGTTAACTGCCCTGAGTTCCTTGCCCCTTGCTCGACCGCATGTTGCTTGCCCTTTGTTTCTAACCATCCCGTCCTGCCATGGCGTGTGTTCCCTTTGCAGAGTGCGCTAAGGACTTCGAGTCGTTATGGAAGTTCGTGCGCATCAATCGGGCGCGGCACAACATCCACCTGGCCCGCATCATCGACGCGGACCAGACGCCGCTCTTCGTTGAGATGCCGGCCGAGAGGACGATCGAGCACCGTGGCGCGCGCTTGGTCCCAATCCGCACTGCAAGACACGAGAAGACTCGGCTCACGTTGATGCTCGCGTGCACTGCATCCGGGGAGAAGCTGCGCCCTTGGGTTTGGTTCAAGCTCAAGAACGTGCCCAACTATGGGATTCCAAAAGGTAAGCTCAAGGAATTCAAGACCGTAGGCCTGGTGAGCCTGCCCTCCTCGACTGCCGCCCGTCTATCCCCTATGTGCCTGGTAGGAATCATATGCCAAGCACATGACAACAGGTGGATGGACGAGAGCGCTGTGCAGACCTGGCTGACCAAGGAGGTGCTGCCCCATCTAAACCCCTAGCGCGGCCAAAACGCGAGGCGTGCGATGCTGATGTTGGACTCCTACCGCGGCCACATCACCCAGACCATGCTCCAATCTTACCGCACGCACAGCATCACCCTTGCAAAGATCCCAGCAGGTTGCATGAGCCAGATTTAACCCCTTAACGTCAACATCAACCGGTGCTTCAAGGCTGGTGTGCGAGCGCGCTACGCCAGGTGGTTCATGCCTGAAGGGATTCACCGGAAGACGAAGAAGGGCGAGTAGCCATGTGAATGCAACTTCTGCTCTGTTTTCTTTCCATGTCTCTAACGGCTCGCTACCCATGCCTCTGTTCCACACGCAGGGAACCAGCGGAGGCCTCCGCACCTCGTGGTGCTGCAGTGGATCGCGGAGGCGTGGGATCAAGTCCCCAAGCAGGTCATCATTGACGCGTTCCGCCACTGTGGGATTTTAAGCAAGCTGGACGCGACGGAGAACCACCTAATAATGTCTCACCTGCACGCTAGGAGCACTATCAGTGTGTTCGAGGACATGAGCCTCGGTGGAACCACGGGTGACAACATGCGCCTGCTTGGGCAGGCGCTAGAGGAGGAGGAGGAGGAGGAGGAGGAGGAGGAGGAGGAGGAGGAGGAGAAGAAGATGCAGGCGGAGGGCGTGAGGGAGGTGGCCGTGGCAACCGGCCTGGAGGTGCTGTACTAGGAGACCCCCAACTACCGCGGAGTGGCGGCTGAGGTTGACCGCATGATCAAGCCTAGGGAGACAACCAGGCATGCCTGACGAGTGCCAGACTTGGGTGTTGACCCTGCTGTTAGTGCAGGGGAGGAGGCCGTGACTGAGGAGGGCTAGGTAGAAGTAAATATTCATAGATGTACATGCATGTACCCCCTAAAGGAACTAGTGATCGTTTAGAAGACACCACCTGTTTATAAGAAAACCCCTAAACCCCTGTTCTGGTTATAAGACATATATGTCTTATCTCATACACACAAATAGGTGTTGCTGATATAACCAAGGATCCAGTAGATAGGATAGAATCTATTAAGTCTGAGAGGAGACAATGAGGTCTCTGTAGTGACCTTGTTGAATAATAATTGAAAGAGAACAAGATGATTGAAAGATAGGAGTACAATAGATTAAAAAGAAATCTAGCCAGCCATGTACTTTGAGGGGTACATTCCCTTATCAACTGTATTGCATAGCTACAGTAACCGTGACTATTGCTATCCTCGACAGTTACCATGTTGCAGTGAATTAACTGTCGTGCGGTTACTGCATCATCAAGGGTCACGACCGTTGACTTCCTCAGACGGTTGACCTTCGGGTGACCCTCAACATTCCGCATGCTCTATATGAGTTATTGCGGTACTGGTACAGTGGAACAGCTCCGGGAATGCTTTATATAACCTTTCGGTTATTCCAACACTCCCCTTCATTCCTGAAGGTGGGCCACGTGGGACTTCTTGGTGATCCCGCAGAGGTCGGCGCAGCGTTGGTACTGCTGACGTGGCAGCTTCTTCGTCAAGAAATCAGCTGCCATGTCACCGGTCGGGCAGTACGTCAGCTTGACTTTCCCTTTGTCAATTTCATCCTTCACGAAGAAGTAGCGAAGGGCGATGTGCTTGGTGCGGTTGACGAAGCCGGCTTGTTCGCGATCTTTATCGCGCTCTGATTGTCACAGAGTAACGTGAAGTGCCCGTTCATCGTCACTTTTGCTTCTTGCAGGAGCTCCACCAGGTACAGTCCTTCGCGAACAGCTGCGCTAGCTGCGATGAATTCTGCTTCTGCTGACGAGAGAGCGATAATTTCCTGCTTCTGAGAGTTCCATGAGATGAGTCTGGCAGGTTGGAGTTGAAAAATGAATCCTGTGCAGGAGCGTCTGTTGTCAACATCTCCAGCGTGGTCGGCATCTACGTAGCCATGGAGCTGTAGAGTAGCGGTGAGGTTAGCTTCGTAGGTGAGACCGACGTCGGGAGTGGAGATGAAGTACTGTAGTGCTCGGCGTAGATCAAGTAGATTCTCCCCTTCAGGTCGCTTCAGGTACTGTGCGAGCTGGCTTGCGACGTAGGAGAGATCGGGCCGGCACGTGACGGCGGCGAACAGGAGACATCCCAGCTGCTGCTGATAGAGACGATGGTTGTCAGGAGAGAGCGGTGTGGTGTCTGGCTCGTGGTTAGGAGGAGGAGTGCAATAGGGGGTAGTGAGGTTGATTGGTGCGATGGAGAAGCGCTTCGCGAGTGTTTCAGCGTACTTGGCGGCGGAGAGGTGAATGGAGGAGGCGGACTAAGTCACATTGAGGCCGAGAAACTGGGTGACGTTGTGGTTGATTGTCACCTCCAGTTTCTCTTTGATGTCAGCCTCAAACTATGTCAGAACATTATAGCTTATGCATTTGTGTAGGCTGTAGTGGGGTAGCCCATAAGGGGTACAACCCAATTAGGGTTAGTACTTGTACCCAACTCTTTCATAGTTCAATTCATTCTCGTTCTAAATTTCACATGGTATAGAGCAGGTTCCCTCATGGGAACTGTTCCTAGGGACCACCGATTCGATTTTTTTTTCCTACCCGGAGCGCGCTCAGTCAAGGCCCGAGTCGCGCTCCGTGGGTCTCTCCTCTCACGACCCCTAGCGGACCCATCGCACCGCTCTCACGGCCTCTCACGGCCCCTTAGCGACCCCTCGCAGCCCCGTCGCGTTGCCCTAGCGGCCGCGTCGCGCCGCCCTAACGGCCGCGTCGCGCCGCCCTAGCCGCCCTCACGGCACCTTAGCGGCCCCTCGCGGCCCCAATCAGCCGCCCTTGCGGCCCCGATCCGCCGCCCTTCGCGGCCCGTCGCCGCTCTCCCCCTGCGGCCCCTCGCCGCCCTTTCACCAGCGGCCCCGTCGCCGCCCTTGCACGACCCCGACACCGCCCTTCCAGCGGCCCCGTCGTCGCCCTTCCCGCGGCCCTGTCGCCGCCCTCTGCAGTGGCCCCATCGCCGCCCTTCTTAGCGGCCCCGTCGCCTCCTCTCAGCGGCCCCGGACGCCGCCCTCTCAGCGGCCCCGCCGCCTCCTCTCAGCGGCCCCGGACGCCGCCCTCTCAGCGGCCCCGCCGCCTCCTCTCAGCGGCCCCGGACGCCGCCCTCTCAGCGGCCCTGCCGCCTCCTCTCAGCGGCCCCGGACGCCGCCCTCTCAGCGGCCCCGCCACCTCCTCTCAGCGGCCCTGGACGCCGCCCTCTCAGCGGCCCCGCTACCTCCTCTTAGCGGCCCCGGACGCCGCCCTCTCAGCGGCCCCGCCGCCACCCTCTCAGCGGCCCCGGACGCCGCCCTCTCAGCGGCCCTCCCGCCGCCTCCTTTGCGGCCCCGCCGGACCGCCCAGAGGCCGAGCCGCCCAACAGCAGAGCAGCCGAACCGCCCAGCAGCCGAGCCGCCGAGCCGCCCAGCAGCCGAGCCGACCAGCCGCCAAGCCGCCTAGCCACCGAGCCGCCCAGCAGCCGAGCAGCCGAGCCGCCGAGCCGCCCAGCAGCTGAGCCGCCGAGCCGCCCAGCTGCCGAGCCGCCGAGTCGCCCTGCAGCCAAGCCGCCCGAGCCGCCCTGTCCGGTAAGAGCAGCGCCTTTGTCACTGCACTGCACTCACCCCACTGTTCGCGCTGCTTGTCTACTGCTATCATGGCTACCCCTAGTGTCCTTGCTTTTCACGCTGAGGTTCGGGCCATCGACTTTGACGTCTGGATAGATGACCTGCAGCTTTTCCTACAGTGCGATAGGGCAAACGGTCTCTCTCTCTTTGACCTCACCTGTGGTGCCTCTCTTCCCCCTGCTGCTGATACTGACGCCATTGTTCGCTCACAGCGGGCCACGCGCGATGCTGCTGCACGTCTTGCTGTGCGTCGCCACCTACCTACCTCTGAGCGTGCGCACTTTAGCCAGTACAAGAGTGCTCAGACCTTGTACGACGCTGTAGTTGCACGCTACTCCTCCCCTGCTACTCCTGCACTAAGCCGCCTCATGCTACCGTACCTCTTCCCTGACCTTGCTGCCTTTCCCACAGTCACTGCCCTCATTACGCACCTCCGCACTAGTGACACTCGCTACCGCGCTGCGCTTCCTGCTGAAATCTGCACCAAGAACCCCCCCCCACCCATGCACATCACCCTCTACTACATAGTCGCCCGTCTCCCTGACTCCCTCCGCGTAGTCAGGGACCACTTTCTCTCTGTTTGCCCCACCACTCTCACCGTTGACCTCCTCGAGAAGGCCCTCCTAGCAGCAGAAAAGAGCATAGTTGCTGTAGGAGCCTCTCGTGGTGACCCCCGCACCCCTGTCTTTAAGGGGTGTTCTCCCTCCTCCCCCTTGCCCTCTGTTGCTTCTGCTGCTGCGGCTGACCTCGTTGGTTTCGAGTCGGTCGGCGCTGCGTCTGCCCCTTCGGGGAAGCGCCGCACAGGCAAGGGCAAGGGGGCCAAGGGCGCGGGAGGAGCTGGCGGGGGCGGTGGAGGTGGCGGTGGCGGTGGAGTAGGCGAAGGGGGTGGGGGTGGTAGTGGGAGTGGTGGTGGGGGTGGAGGTGTCGGTGGCGGCAGTGGAGGTGGAGGCGGAGGCGGCGGCGGCGGTGGGAGCGGAGGTGGCGGAGGTGGCGGCGGAGGAGGAGGAGGAGGCGGAGGAGGTGGAGCTGGTCGGGGTAGGGCTCCGCAGAGGGGCGGCTCCGGTGGTGGTCAGCGCCAGCAGCAGCAGCAGCAGCACACTCGTGACATCCCCCCCACCCCCCCCCCCCTCAGCAGCTCCGTGAGTGGTACGCTGCACGCCAGCGGGGTGGGGGTACTGGTCCGTACACCTACGTCCTGCGCACCGGCGACTGTGCGGGTGAGCAGTGTGGGGGTGCGCACCCCACCCAGCGCTGCTTTGGCCGCCTGACGGACGCTTGGCGTCACCAGTTCCCTGAGGCCACACAGATCCCTCGCTGGGGCGAGCTGTCTAGGGCGGGGGTTGCTATCTTTGACCTTGACTTTGATGCTATTCTTGCTGCTATGTATGCTGTGACTATTTGTAATGAGGGTGACTGTTACCAGTGTTTTCCGCCCGATCCGGGCATTGAAACTGCGTCTCTAGGTGCTGGTGAGGCTGCTGCTCTTGGTGCTAGCGAGGCTGCTGCTCTAGGTGCTAGTGCGTCTGCTTCCTCAGGTGCTGGTGAGTCTGCTCTCTCACGTACTGCGTCATATTCGGCCTCCCTCACCTTCACCCTTGACTCTGGGGCTTCTCGCTCCTTCTTTCGAGACCGCACCACACTCACGCCACTTGGTCGGTCACTTGCAGTCTATCTGACAGACCCCTCTGGGCGTCAAGTCCTTGCTCACTTCTCTAGTGTCCTCACATGTCTGGCGGCTCCCTCTGGCACCCTGTCTGGTCTTTACCTCCCCTCGTTCTCTACGAACTTGGTGAGTGGTGCTGACCTACAGGATGGGGGAGTGCACCAGTTGACTCCTGCGAGCCAGCGGGTGACTCACTACACCGAGGCTCGTACGGGCCGACACTTGGCCACGTTTACACGTCGGCCGGGGTCGAGCCTGTACACACAGACCACTGCGTCTCCTCCTATCACTGCATCTGGTCAGGTAGCTGCGTCGGGCCAGGTGTTTGCTGCAACGTCCAGGTCTGGTCCTGAGTCTGCCCCCTGTTCGTGTTGTCTCCTGTCTCACGAGACTCTCCCGTGGCACCACCGCCTTGGTCACCCCT